CTCCTGTGAGCATGAGGAAGGCTTCACAGAGGAGGAGGCATTAGGCTAAGCCTCACAGGAGGAGCAGGGGGTCTGGGTGATGGGGAGGGACCAGGGCCAAGCCGGGCAGAGGAGGAGAGGGGAGGGAAGAGCCGGGCTCAGGGATCTGCCAGGAGCCCCGGGAGCCATGCGGGTCGGGGGCTGTGGAACAGTGGCCTGGAGGTACGGACTAGAGGCCTGGGGACCCGAGAAGAGGCTGCAGTGGCCAGGGGCTAGCGCAGGCCAGTGGCCGCCTGGCTCGGGCCCTGTCCCCGGATGGGGGCCCCCCTGCGCCCCAGGCCTAGGGGCTTCCTGCGGTCCAGGCAAGCCCCTCCCCTGGCCCAGGCACACCAGCCCCTCTCCCCAGAGGAACAGGCGGCAGGACCAGGCAGTGGAGTCCGGCGAGGGAGGCCGGGAGCTGCCTGGCAACGGACCCCAACCCTTTCCCTCTTGGTGGGGCACCCCGAAATCTTGAAATAAATTAGGCAGAATCGAAATCAGGCTCTCTTCGTCAGGAGAAATTACTCATTTCAAATATTTGCAGCCGCTTGAACTGAAATTGAGCGAGATGAGGACTCAGATGAATAACCTGGGCCCTTTTCAAAGACAGTGTTCACTCAGCACTTTCCCTGATTCCGGCCCCTCCCCCGCGCGGCCCCCTCCTCGCACCCGACTCCCGGCTTCTCCCTCGGGATCCTGTCTGTCTTTCGCCCCCAGTCCCAGCCCGGCTGGTTCACCCACTCTCCGCTCCCTTTTCCTTGGTTTCATTCAGTAAATCTGCGAATATGTGTGGAGCGTGTCTCCTCCAGTCTGGCACCGAGCTTGACCGGGGCACCCTGCTGAGGTCGGATGGCCCAGCCCTGGCACACTCCTCATTGCCCTGTGTGGCACTTCTCTTTATAGAGACAGGGTCTCACTCTGTGGCCCAGGCTGGAGGGCAGTGGCACGATCACAGCTCACCGCAGCCTCAGCCTCCTGGACTCAGGAGATACTCCTGCCTCAGCCTCCTGAGTGGCTGGGACGACAAGCAGGCATACACCACCATGCCTGGGCATGGCTTTTTTTTTTTTGAGTCAGAGTCTTACTCTGTTGCCCAGGCTGGAGGGCAGTGGCATGCTCACGGCCATGGCAGCCTCGACCTGCTGGGCTCCGGCGATCCTTCCACCTCAGCCTTCCCAGTAGCTGGAACTACAGGCACGTGCTACCACACCTGGGTAATTTTTTATTTATTGTAGAGATGAGGTCTCGCCAAGTTGCCCAGGCAGATCTCAAATCCGCGAGCTCAGGTCATCCATTCACCTCGGCCTCCCAAAGTGCTGGGATTACAGGCTGAGCCACCGAGCCTGGCCCTAATGCTTTCAAAAACTTCCTTTCCACGCTTTAAAATCCAGAACCTTATATAACCGCCTCTCTGGAGGCTGGAAGTCAAACTGGAGAGCTCCACCCCTCCCCTGACCCCCTCCCCTGAACCCCTCCCACTCCCCGGCAGCGCTTGGCCTTCCGGCAGGCAGGGTTTGAGGAGACCCAGACCTGCCCACCCTCACAGTGACCGTGGTGGGCAGGGGACCCTCGGGTGGAGGGCATGGCCAACAAGCGGGAGAAGGCAGGTCCTCCATGCCCCAAGTTCTTTGAAAGACGCGTCCAAGGCTCAGGATTTGGCCAACTGCCTCCTGTGGGTCCGAGGGTCCTGGGTTGCTCTGCCAGAAGGGATGAGGGGTGGTCAGGGGCATGCCAGCCCCTTCTTCCTTGGATAGGGAGGGAGAGGGGAAGCGGGGAGAAGGGAGAGGATGAGGAGAGAGAAGAGGAAGGACAGAGGGAGGGGACATCCAGCAACATGGCTAGAGGGATGAACCCCTTGGGAGATGGCAAACAGCCTGTGTGATGGGTGCCCATGGGGAAAGTGGGGGTTCAGGGTCTCATGCCCCCTTGAAGGCATGGGTGTCAGTGCCCCTGTGGCCCTGCAAATCTTGTCCCTGCACAATTGTACCCACCTCTCTTCCTCTCCCTGCCTTGAGGAACTACTTTTAGTTCCTAAAATGGATCAGGCTCAGGACTACCCCAGGGCTTTTGCACGTGCCTGTTTCTCCTCCTAGAATACTCTTCCTGGACCCGGTCAGCTCCCTGGTGACACGTCTCATCTCAGTTGTCCTGGTGGCCCCAAGGAATTTGTGCTGACAGGCAGCCAGGCCAGAGAGGGGCCATCTGCTCAGACAGATGGCATTGGTTGGTAATGTCTGTCACATCTCTGCCCAACTCTGAGCCCTGCCCAGCCAGCCAGGGCTAGGGAGTCACATGGCTCTGGCCCGTCAGGCCTTGATTGTTGGTTTGTAACTGGAGCTGAGCTCTGAAACCCACCATGACCTCATCTTACTCATTTTCCTCCTGCAGAGCAGTTGAAATGATGCCACGTGGCCACGTGCTGTGTGGCACTGGCTGATGGCAGGGGCCATTCAGGGCCCAGCGTGTCCTGGAAATGAACCAGTGGGTGGCTCTGGACTCCAGTGTGGTGCAGGGGATTAGGATGAGTCCTTGGGAGGGAGAGGTGGCTTTGGGGTTCAACCAGCTCTGGGGACAGTGCCCAGGAGGACCCTGGAGGCCAACTCAGCCTGCCAGTCTCACTGTAGGACTTTCTGGGGCCTCAGAGGACCCGTGAGGATGCACCCCCACTTCCCAAGGCTTCTGGGACTCTCCCTTGCAGGTGTCCAGAGTTGCCCTGGAGCCAGGAGCTGGAAGCAGAAGGGCAGAGGAAGAGAGAAGCCCCCTCCTGGAAGGGAACCATGATTTATACACGCGGGGCTCCCACGCAGGGTGGCATGGGGTGCAGATGAACCAGGCCCTGGGTGGGCGGCTGATGCCCAGTGGAGGTTACGATGACCCCCCATCATCATCAGAGGAGGAAACCGAGTCTCTGAGAGGTGTGGCTTCTCCAGGACTGCGTGGTCCATTCGGGCCAGAGCTCAGGGCGGGTGCCAAGACTCTTTGTCCAGTGACCATCCTGCACGGCCTCCCGCGATGACCGTGACACCTATGGCGTGGTCCCCGTGTTGCTGGGCATTGATCAGTGGACACAGATTGTGCTGCTTCCCTTCACATGCCCATTTCATAGTGCAGCGAGATTGACGAACGCGCCCATGTTGACACAACTGGCAAGGAGCGGTGCTGGGACTTGAACCTGGGAAACCTGGCTGGAGTCCAGACTCGTCACAAGCTGAGCCATGTGGAGAAGGCAGTCCCCTTCCTTCTTCCTGGGCCTCCAACCCCCGCCCTTCTCTCTCCCTTCCTGGATGGCCGGGAGATCGCTTTTCATCTGTGTAACCGAGCGTGGCTTCTCTCCTCTGCAGGATGGACATGAGTCTGATCTTGCCAATTTCCCTCCCGCCTCTAAAGAGAAAAAAACTTTTGCTAAGACGACTTCAGAAAATCAGATGCCATGCCCGAATCACCTCCTCTCGCCGGGGGCGAAGGGAAGGAGGAGAAACAGGCATGAGCAAGATTTTGCATTTCCTGACCGGGACGGGTTGGTGGAATTGTTTTTGCTTGTTTGTCTGATTTTGAGTCGCCCAGGATGGAGTGCAAGGGGCACGATCACGGCTCACTGCAGCCTCGACCTCCTGGGCTCAGGGGATCCTCCTGCCTCAGCCTCCCGAGTCGCTGGGACTACAGGTGCCCACCACTGCACCCAGCCAATTTTCTGATTTCTTTTTTGTAAAGACAGGGTCTTGCTCTGTTGCCCAGGCTGGTCTCGGACCCCTGGGCTCAAGCTATCCTCCCGCCTCGGCCTCCCAAAGTGCTGGGATGACAGGCGTGAACCTCTGACCCAGAACCCCCGTTGCTTCTCCTGGGGTCTGGCCTCCGGCAGGGCCCGGATCATCCCCCACAATGGCCTGTCACTCAGCCGAAAGGCGGGAGGTCATCCTCTGCAGCTTTCCGGGATTCTGGGAGGTGGGTCTGAGGCCAAGGCAGGGCAACTTGCCCTGCAATGCTCTCGGGAACCCTCTGGAGTCAACGGTCCGAGCCGCGGGTTCCACTTGAAATGACGTGTGGATGTTGGGGTCCTTTTGATCTGAGACCAAGGGATTCCCACCCATGAAGAGCAGGAAGCAGGTGGAGGCAGAGGCTCGAGGCACGAAGAAATGCAGACCCAAGCCTCTCATGGGACCGAGGCTATGGAAGGTTCGTGGGGAGAACTGAGGGTCGCCGGTGGAGGGTCCCAGTCCCCGGGGGGGGGTGCCTGGCACAGAGCCCGACTCTGTCCCCCTGTTGGTAAGATGAACAGAAGGACCACTCCATGGCCCTGGCATCCGGGTGCAACTCCAACACGAAGGACTCTTTCGGACCCTTTTGAGTCTCTGGTGGGGAAGGGCGCCAGGGTGGGGGGATGGCGGGGTTTCCCACGCTTCCCCAGTGACTCAGAAAACAATATCTGTCCAGTGTGGTGGTGCACACCTATAATCCCAGCACTTTGAGTGGCCAAGGCAGGAGGATCGCTTGAGCCTAGCAGTTGGAGACCAGCCTGGGCAACACAGCGAGACCTCATCTCTACAAAAATTTTTTAAAAACTTAGTTGGGCATGGGGGTGCAGACCACCTACTCGGGAGGCGGAAGTGGGAGCATTGCCTGAGCTCAGGAAGTCAAGGCTGCAGGGAGCTGGGATGGTGCCACTGCACTCCAGCCTGGGCGACAGAGGGAAACCCCGACTCAACCCCCTCCCCCCAAAATTGTAGCTTGTATAGAGACGCCAGTGCTATGCACTCCCCAGTAGTGACCTGGAGAGCGAGGCTGTCCAAGGGTCCCTGCTACATGGTCTTGCCCACACCTCACTGAAGCCCATGAGTGGGCACCATCACCAGCCTGTGTCTCGCTCAAGGCGGCCCATGCCCAGAGCTCCAGGCGGCCGTGTCAACACAGCTCCGAGTGGCTGTTCAGGCACCAGGGCCCACCGGTCTGCCCGATTCCCGGCCTGTGACTCTCAATCCCAGCACTCTCTGTCACCTCCCAGCCTTGGGTCTTCCCTTGGCCCCTGACCCCTAACCCCTCTCAACTCAGCCCTGGCCTCTCCTTCAGCTTCCACAATCTGCCTGCCCTGGCTGGGGGGCTCTGTCTCCCCGTCTTCTGCCCCAGAGTCGGGTGTCGGGGGGCGCAGTGCCTGAGAGTGGTCTCACTTCCCAAGCATCCAACAGGAGGGCTGCACCACCCCACAGTCCGCGGAGCCTGTGACACGCCAGCAAAGGTTGTTTCTCCAATTTGCATGTCACAAGGGGCCAATGACCCCCACCCCACAAGAGTAATGATTATCGCTTGCATCTGTTGAGCCCTTAATGCGAGTCAGACCTGGACTTTGCTGTGTGTCCCCTTACTGACCCTATTAGGTGGGTTCTACCAGGAGCCCCATTTTACAGGTGGGGAAACTGAGGCTCGAGGAGGTGAGGTCCCCTGGCTAGCCTTGCAGGTGTGTCTGGCTGTAGAGTTTGCTGACTGCCCTGTAGGATCCTTGGAAAGGGACAGAGTTCGAGAAGGGTGGAGGGAGCAGGAAGACAGAAAACCTGGGCCGAGTGTGGTGGCTCATGCCTGCAACCCTGCACTTTGGGAGGCCGAGGCAGGAGGATCACTTAAGCCCAAGAGTTGAAGACTAGCCTGGGCAACACAGCGAGACCTCATCTCTACAAAAATTCTAAAAATTAGCCAGGTGTGGTGGCACACACCTGTCGTCCCAGCTACTTGGGAGGCTGGGGCAGGAGGATCGCCTGAGCCCAGAAGGCCAAGGCTGTGGTGAGCCATGATTGTGCCCCTGCCCTCCAGCCTGGGCGACAGAGACCAGGAACGACACAGGAGCCGCTCCGGCTTCCCTCTGTCCCTCCTGGCCCTGCTCTGGGATTGGGGACTTGGCCTGAGTGGGACCCTGGCTGGCTGCCTCCGGGAGCCGGGGGCCGGAGCCAGGAGGGCTTCCAGTCATCCCAGTTCCTCAACAAAATCACCAACAAGCACTGCTGCCTGGAAACATGGCCTCACCCCGGCATCCCTGGTTGAATCGTGGGACGGAACCCCCGGATGCTCTCTGGCCCCGTCGCCTGTCCAGCCCTCTCATCCCTCAGATGGGGGGACACTGAGGCCTGGGATGGGAGAAGGGTCTTGCTTGAGATCCCTGAGTGGGTGGGGGTGGCACCAGCAGGGGATGGACCCCAGATCTTCTGCCGCCTGGTCCCACACACCGCCCAACTCAAGGCTTAGAGCCTCCTGGCCCAGGAAACCGCTCTATTAACACCATCGATTTCAATCTTGAATTCACAACATGGACGTTCTTTCCAATAACAACAGCCCCACAGGAAAGATGTGCCGAGGACCATGCCCACCCCGTCTTCATTGCTGGCTCGGGACTGTGCCTGGGGGACAATGAAGAGCATCCTGCAGAGATGTCCTGACAGCCCCACTCACTCCTGCCAAGAACGATTGATCATGCACGTGCCCCACAGAGGAGCCACTGAGGTCGGGGGAGCCCGGCACCCCACTCATGACTTGTCCTTTAAAAGGAAAAGCCGGTGACGTGGCCAGGAGGAATCAAGAAGATGGGAGAATGAGGGCAGAACACAAGGCCCCAGGATTAACCCTGCAGCAGCATCACCGTGGACATGAGCCCAGAGGAGGGCAGGGTGCAGGGGACACGGGGACGTGAGGGACGGGGGGCACGCGAGGCACACGGGGAACGTGGGTGGTCTAGGATGTCAGGGCTTCTCAAGCCCCTGGTGTGTTTTCTTCCCACTGTGACTTTCTGACTCGGGGTTGAATGCGTCTAAGAGTTCGGAACACTCCCCAGACTCCCCAGAGAGAGGCTGGACCTTGGCCCAGAAGCCTCCTGTGTGTGTGTGTGTGTGTGTGTCTATGTCTGATGATGTCTGGTTTGTGTGTCTGTGCTTGCCTGTGCATGCTGGGGTTCATGCATGCCCTCGTGCCCCATTGCTCCCCCGTGAACTCAATGCGGTGCCCTCGCCCACCCTCCAGGGCGGCTGGCAGGAGCGGAAGCCACCCCTGGCCAGGTGAGGATAGAAGAGGCCTCAGAGCTCCGCACATCGTGACTCCCAAGCCCGAGAACCCCACAGTACTGGGGAGGCAGGATCCGTCCTCCCCCAAGGACTAAGGAGGCTGCCTGGGTGCGGGACTGTGTCCTTGAGGCCCGGTGGAGAGAAGGGGTCTTGTGGTTGGGGGGCATGGAATGCAGTTTGGGGGGTGTGGAGCTTGGCTTGGGGGCCATGTGGAGAGTGGCTGAGAGCCTCAAGGAGCAGAGTGAGGCTGGTGGGGGACACCTCTCATCAAGGGGGAGGGAGCTGGATTCAGGAGGCAGAGAAGCACGTTCTAGGTGGGCACAATGGCTCATGCCTGTCATCCCAGCACTTTGGGAGGTGGAAGTGAGAGGATTGCCTGAGTTCAGGGATTTGAGACCAGCATGGACAACTTGGCGAGACCTCATCTCTACAATAAATCAAAAAAATCAATCAGGCATGGTGGCACGCACCTGTAGTTCCAGCTACTTGGAAGGCTGCGGTGGAAGGATCGCCGGAGACCAGGTGGAGGCTGCAGTGGCCGGGAGCGTGCCACTGGACTCCAGGCTGGGTGATGGAGTGAGACTAAAACTCAAAAAAAAAGCTCTCCAGCCTCCAGAACAGCAGCTTTCGAGCAGAACTTTGGGACTCCTTTGGAGAAGGAAGAGGAGGACGCAGGGGAGGGAAGAAGAGGGAGAAGTAGTGAAAGAAGGGTGGGAGAGGAGGAGGAGGGTAAGGGAGGAGGAAGGCAAGCAGGAGGGAGCGGGGAGAGGGGAGCTGACAGACAGCAAGCCTTGGTGTGTGTCCACGGGGCTTCGGAAGTCTCTATTTTTTGGTGGAATCACAGGGGAACCAAAGGGAGCTGTGTGTGTGTGTGTGTGTGTGTGTGTGTCTGAGGGACAGTTTCATTCTGTGTGAGGACATTGTCCATGCAGGCAGGGAGGCCCAAAGAACTAGGAAGTCCAGAGCCTGTGAATGAAGTTTAAAGGACAATACAAAGTGAGGTTATTCACAGTCACCAAAAAATGGAAGTAACCCTAGCACCCAGTCACTGATCCACTGCACAGTGGAGTACTATTCAGACCTGAAAAGGAATGAAGCTCAGATCCAGGCTACAACGCAGATGAACCTGGAAACGTTACATGAGGGGAGAGAAGCCAGACACAAAAGGTTACAAATGATTCCATTTATAAGAAATGTCTAGGCCAGGTGCAGTGGCTCACACCTGTAATCCCAACGCTTTGGGAGGCTGAGGCAGGAGGAGCCCAGAAGTTTAAGACCAGCTTAGGCAATAGAACAAGACTTTGTCCCTACAAAAAATAAAAAAATAAAAAATTAGCTGGACATAGTGGTGTGTGTCTGTAGTCCCAGCTACTCAGGAAGCTGAGGCAGAAGGATCGCCGGAGGCTACGGTGAGCTGTGATCGTGCCACTGCACCAACCCGGGTGACAGAGCGAGACTCAAAAAGAAATAAAATGAATGCCTAGAATAGATGAATCCAAAGAGATAGAAAACAGATTCATGGTTGCCAGGAGCTGGGGCAGGGATGAGGCAGGGATGGGGGTGAAGGGTGGGGGAATTGTCAATAGGCATGGAGTTTTCTGGAGGGACGATGGAAATGTTTTAAAACTCATTGTGGCGACAGTTACACAACTCTAAATATACTCAAAACATGGAATTGTGCACTTTTAATAAGTGAATGATCCAGCACAGGAATTACATCTCAGCAAAACTGTTAAATTCGGCTGGGTATGGTGGCTCATGCCCATAATCCCAGCAATTGGGAGGCCGAGGAAGGAGGAACGACTTGAACTCAGGAATCCAAGACCAGCCTGGGCAACACAGCGAGATCCCGACTCTGTATTTTTAAAAAGCTGTCATATGGGCTGGGCTTGGTGGCTCAGCCTGTAATCCCGCGCCTTTGGGAGGCTGAGGTGAGTGGATTGCCTGAGCCCACAGGTTCGAGACCCACCTGGGCGGTGAGCCCTCATCTCTACAATAAATCAAAAACTCAGCCGGGCGTGCGTGGTAGCACATGCCTGTAATTCCGGCTACTTGGAAGGCTGAGGCGGAAGGATCACTGGAGCCCAGGTGGTCGAGGCTGCGGTGGCCAGGAGCAGCCACTGCACTCCTGAAAGGATTTCGGCGCCAGTAACGACTCCACACCCAGCTGGGACCAAGAGATTTATTAAAGGGGCTGTTACAGAGAGGGTCTGTAACCGA